TCAAAGAGAACACCAGGCAGGATAAGTGCCCAAAAAACTATGTCTAAGTATATCATACTTGTACATTAGAAAATCAAACAGAAAGAAAATATCTTGAAAGTAGCCAGAGGGAAAAATGCCTTACCTATAGAAGAGCAAAGATAAGAATTACAGACCTCTGTCAGAAACCATTTAAGCAAGAAAAGAGTAAAGTTAAATATTTCAAGTATTGAGAGAAGAAAACTGCTAACCTAGAGTTAACCCAGTGAAATTATCCTTCAAAAGTGAAGGAGAAATGCAGACTTTCTCAAACAAAAATTGAGGGAATTTGTTGCTAATAGGCCTGTCTTCTGAAAAATATTCGAAGTTCTTCAGAGAGAAGGAAAATAATGTGTCAGTATAAGTGTGTCTATCTTAACAAATGTACCACTGTGGGGCAGTATGTTAACAGTAGGTAAGATTGTGCATGAGTGGGGATGAGGGGTATATGGGGATGCTGTACATTTTACTCAGTTTTTCTGTGACCCTCAAAGTGCTCTAAAATATGAAGTTGGTTAATTTTTTAAAAGTCAGTTGCATTTAAAATCAGGAAGGAAACTTTGAATTTGACAAGAATAATTTTAGTGGACTAGTGAGGAAAATTAGATTGAAATAGGTTAAAGAGTTATAGAAATTGAGGAAGTATAAAATTTATAAAGAAGTAAACTGGGACATCAGCAACATCAAATGTGTGTGTAGAAGGGGAAGAAGATATGTAAAACTTTTTAATGCAATTGAAATTAATTTGTTATCAGCTTAAAGTAGATGTAACAACTATAAGGTGTATTATGAAAACCTTAGTTAATCAAAAAGGAAAAATCTGTGAGAGATACACAAATGATAGTAAGAAAAGAAAAAGCATACCACTAGAGAAGTAAGCCAGAAAGAGAAAGAAAAATACCATATGATATCATTCATAAGTGGAATCTTAAAAAAAAGAAATAAAGACACTATAAACTCATCTACAAAACAGAAACAGACTTGCAGATATAGTAAACAATCTTATGGTTACCAGGGAGAAGGGAGTAGGAAGGGATAAATTTGAGAGTTTGCAAATGTTAGCCACTATATATAAAAGTAGATTAAAAAAAAGTTTCTTCCATATAGCACAGGGAACTATATTCAATATCTTGTAACAACTTTTAATGAAAAAGAATATGAAAAATGAATATATGTATGTATATGCATGACTAGGACATTGTGCTATACACCAGAAATTGACATGTTGTAACTGACTGTACATCAGTTTAAAAAACAAAAAAATACCACTATACAGAATCATCAATTCACAAAGACAGCAAAAGAGGAAGAAAGGAACAAAGGAACTATAAAACAATCAGAAAGCAATTAACAAAATGGTGATAGTCCTTACTGTTAGTTAAGTCCTCATCTATCAATAATGACTCTAAATGTAAATGGTTTAAACTCTTCATTTAAATATAGAGTGGCTGAATGAAAAAAAAATTCCTATATGCTGCCTGTAGGAGACTCACCCACTTAAGCTTTAAGGACACTCAGGCTGTAAGTGAAGGGATAGAAGAAGTTATTCCATACA